AGCGGCTAAGGGGCCGCGAGGGGCCGTGATAGAGGGGCCGCGAGGGGCCGTGAGAGGGGCCGCTAGGGAGCGGCTAAGGGGCCGCAAGGGGCCGTGAGAGGGGCCGCGAGGGGCCGTGAGTGGGGGCCGCTAGGGAGCGGCTAAGGGGCCTTGAGAGGGGCCGCGAGGGGCCGTGAGTGGGGGGGCCGCTAGGGAGCGGCTAAGGGGCCACTAAGGGCAGGGGACGCGGGGCGCGACTCGGGCAGGGGTGAAGTGCGCTCCGGGCAGGAAAAAAAAGTTCGAATTTTCGGTGGGCCCTAGGAAACGTTCCCACTAGGGAACCTGCTCTATACCATGTGAAAGAACAAGGAATGAATGAACTAGCAAGCAGGTGGGTACAAGTAGGAAAACCTAAAAGTGTTGTACCCCATATTGTCTACCCCACTACAGCCTACACAGACTATAGCATATGAGTTTGACATAATTACCCCCCTCACCCTGTCTCTTCCCCTCCAAACCTCACCTCCCTATTTCCCCCTCTTTCTACCCTTTCCTCATATCCAACTCCTTCCGACAAAAAAATGTTGGGTTGGATGCTACAATGGGATGCGAGGTTTTCACCTGCCCATCTTGACGTTCGAAAACTCGAACTTGCCACCAGGGCTAATTTTTTTATTTTGACTACCCTTATGAGCAGTGTGGTACAAGGTCAAAAACCTGATTATCAGTGTGACCCCTTCTGAAAACCCTGTTACATCAGGGTTTATGTCGGTTTTCAAAAATTTACCCTGTCGCATCATTGTTCTTAAAAGACAAACCCTGGAGAAACTGTAAGTCTGGCCTATGGTGGCCCACTTTGAGCCAGCACATGCGTTGTCAAGGCCGAAATTACGGTTTCGCCAGTTGGCAATCGGGATTCGGGAATCCCGGGTTACTGGAAAAAGGGGGGGTGGGGGCAGGGCCCACGATATCAGGGCAAAACATCCTGATTACCCTGATTTCAGGATGGTGTTTTAAGTTTGCCCTGAAATTTCAGAATGACGATGAAATTTACCCTGTAACGTCAGGATGATTCATGTGTTTTGCCCTGAAATTTCAGAATGGCAGTGAGATTTTGCCCTGAAGCGTTAGGGTGAATGTAGAGGGATGCCCTGACTCATGGGAAGGGGAAGAAGGGGTGGAGGGGAGGGGGGGAGAGGGGGAGAGGGGAGGAGGGAGGCTCGGGGGTGTGTGTGCTAGTTTTGTCCCCCCCCCCCAAGGTTTTTGCTCAGCCCATTGTAGTGAAACCACTGAACAACCTGCTCCTCTCGTGGCTTCCCCTCCACTCTAGTGTCTTGTATTTTTTTGCCCTGAAACATCCGGATGAATTTCTGCTGGTGCCCTGAAATTTCAGGATTGCCAGGAAATTTTGCCCTGAAAAATCAGGGCATTTTGGAGAGTTTTCAAAAGTTGCCCTGAGGGCTCAGGGTGCCCTAAATCCTAGCACAGGCCCTGGGTGGGGGAACTGGGGGGGCGGGGGGGGGGGTATGGAACTCGCTTCAGGGAAAAACTCGTTATTGAATACGGGAACCCTTAGTCATCAGTGTGCCTATATTGTAAACCTTGACACATCAGGGTAATCTTGACTCTTCGAAAAATTACCCTGGACCATCAGTGTTACTCCCAAAAACCACCCTGATTATCAGGGTATCAGGGTTATTTACACTGATAAAATTAGCCCTGCTTGCCACACGTTTTTTTTTTTTTTTTTTTTTTTTTTGCCTATCCATTTTGATATTTGTAAACCCATCTCGACGGTGTCTTGCTAAGACGACCCATGCCCAGGTTTTATAGGACGGTCGCGACAAGTATTTGACGGATTTCTGGGCTCAACACAGGGTGGTGCGCCATATTTTGACCCACCAGGCTCTGTGAACAGTGCCCTACATGATTGAATCAGATGCGCAATAAGGAATTTGGAAAATTCCTTACAGCTGTACTTTTCATACGTATGAATTTCGTAGTGTTCAGAATTTTATCAAAGTTAAAGTGTCCTCTCACATCCCTCTCTGTTGAAAGCCATCGAATCTGGACACGTGTGCTGACTCGCTCTGCAGCACACAGACGCTCTGCTGGCTGACCAGAATTTTTCTCGAGACTTTTAGGGTTTCCCAAGCCGTTTCGTCCAGAAACAATGCATTTCACAGTGTCGCGAGTGAGAGTGAGTGAAGTGCCAGATTCACCCAACCTTCAGCAAGAGCGCTGCGAGCGAGATGACGCGACGGAAGCTACTGCCACGCGCGCCGCAGAAGAGGGGAGGGGAGACGGGTCGGGCGAGGGTTGTGGGGGAGGGAGCACTTACGGGGAGCACTTATGGGAGCACTTTCGCAAAGTAGCGCATAGAATCCGCTCACGATGGCAGCCGGGGAGCAGAGACGATCGAAACGGGTGGAGGGAGCGAGTGCGGGAAAAGCAGGATGGGTCCATACGCGTTCCGATGGTGGAGGGATTTTGCGTAAAGTGAGGCAACAACTTTGTTATGTCATGCGACGATTTCTTAGGCGACCTTATCCCGTCGCAGGCCTCGATTGGCATTGCTGCTGCAGCAGCAGCATTTTGTCTGTGAGTCGCGCACCTCCCGGCGCCTGTGGTAGCATCTCAAACGCTGACGTGGCTCGGTAGCGACTTCGCATGACTTCGCAACGGTCGCACGGCGAGAGCGATGGCTGTCGCAGCTTTTGACCTCCCAGCCAGTACCGAGTATAGTACTAGCATGAGGATTGTACTGTACACGCATTCCACTGCTACTACACGTATACAGTAGTCGTGGTCCACGTGTCAGCAGACCGCCAATAGGAGAACTTTTCCGTTTTTCTCGCTCACCCACAAACAACCCACAGGCTCGCCCGCCCGAACCAGAGAGGCTCACTCACTCACTCACTCTTCGCTCGACTGATCAGGCTGATCCGACGAGGCTCATTCATTCTTCACAATCACATGCCATGCCAGTAGGTTCCGTCCTCGCGTGCCGCGAAGCGTAGCCTCGCGGCAAATCAGAGACTCGTCGGATCGGAACGGAACCCCCAGCTCAGATAAAGCCCTCCCCGTCTGAACGCGCACAAGCCGCCACGCCACGCCACGCCACGCCACGCCACTTCCCCTCTCGCCACTTCCCTCCACGCCCCTCCAAGCCCTGTCTCTCTGCCCATGCGCATGTCCCTTTAGTTTCCAGATTCCCGCTCCCGCTTCGCGGAATGATGTCCCGCTAGATCGCTCGCTGCTCCCCTTACGAGCATTATTAGTGTGCGAGCTCCCCTCCCCATTCCTATCCGTAAGGGATAGTCTCGAGGCGCCTCGAGAGCTAGACTCTCCCCCCTCCCTTCTCCCCGTACGAGAATAGGATTTCTAGGGTGCGAGTTCCCCATTCCAATCCGCGAGTCGCGGATTCCGCCCCGTCGACAGGTGGTGTACCCAAGTTGCACGTTCCCGGGTTTCCTGGGAAGGTTCCTCTCTCTCTCCCCCGTCGCTTCCGCGCGGACGTGCCTTGGCAGGCTGCATTGGCGACAGGCACGCAGTGAGCTCATCTTTTCATAACCGTGCCGAACCGAAGCCCGTTGGTGTGGTTCGAGGCCACTACTACTAGTTCATACCTGCTTCTGCTGTGCTCTGCTGTTACTAGTTCGTACCTGCTCACTCCTGGTCTCTCCTCGCGCCGACGTGCCCTGGCAGCTGCATTGGCGGCGACAGGCAGGCACTGAGCCCGTCTTTTCATAACCGTTCCGAAGCCCGTTGGTGTGGTTCGCTTCGCTGTCACTACTACTAATTCTGCTGTCCACCATAACCTGCTTCTGCTGTTGAGCGGCGTACCAGACTACCACCTGTTTCATGCGTGCTGGGCCGCACTTGTGGCTGCGTGCACGCCACACATGCTATGCTGCAGTTGTCGCTGCGTAACACGTGACGCGGCACATGCTATGGACTTCTAGTCAGCAGCAGCTAGACTGCTACTACTAGGTTATTCTGCTGCTGCTGCTGCTGCTGCTGCTGCTGCTTGCGTTGCGTGCGCATGCTATGGGTGCTGTAGTGGCTCAGCACCAGTTTATAACTGCTTAGCACGTGCACGCGCTCTGGATCAGCAGCTGGCCTTTTAGAAGAATCCGCAGTAACCACTCCTCCAGCATCCACAGTAATCACCCCTCAACTGCATCAACTCATCTGTTCTATTCACGCCATCCCGTGTTGTTTCCTGCGCCCCCCACGCCACCTGCTGCCCCCGCTAGCATAGTAAAGCCCTTATTCCTCCTCTGTCCATCTCCCTCTCTCTCTCTCTCTCCGCTGCCGCCGCTAGTATACGCTTTTTGCTGGCTGCGGCTACTCAAATCACCCAAACAGACGATGAGGATGGGGATGATGGGGGTGGGGATGCTGGCGCCGCTAATGCTGCTGCTGCTCCCCCTGGTGCTACCCGCCTGTCCTCTTGTGCTCTGCGCCGGAGTTGACTCTATCCGAGGTTCTACAATTGGGGGGAGAACTGCTGCTCGGGAGAATGTGACAGTATCGGACGTGGCAGCGTGGGATGTGACTGGGCCGAATGCGACTATGCCGAATGCCTTAGCGGATGCACCCCATGAGTCTGTGGAAGCAGCGCAAGCAGGAGGTGTGATTATAACGAGGGGGAGCAAGGCGATTGGGGCTCAGACCCGTGCTGGAGGGAAGGAAGGAGAGGCTTCGAGAGGGCGAGAGGCGGAAGTGACTGTAACGAGCGAAAGAGGCAGGCATGCGGGGCTGTTTGGTTGGTTCCACTCGTTTCTAGCGTCGCCAGCGGTGCAGAGCCTTTCCAGGGCCAGCCAACACAGCATCAGCAGCAACGGTAGCAGCAGCAATGCCATCACCATCACCACTACCACCAGCAGCACCAGCAGCAGCAGCAGTGCGAACAGTAGCAGCAGCAGCAGCAGCAGCAGCAGCAGTGTGTTCACTCATCCGCTGCTTCCCCTGCTGCGGGTGTCGAAGCCCACTGCTGCATGGCTGGGCGATAAGAGATGGCCCGTAAGCTCTCCTTCTCCCCTCCCCTGCTCCCTTCTCCCTCCCCCTCCCCCTCCCCCTCCCCCTCCCCCTCCCCCTCCCCCTCCCCCTCCCCCTCCCCCTCCCCCTCCCCCTCCCCCTCCCCCTCCCCCTCCCCTCACTCATCCGCTGCTTCCCCTGCTGCGGGTGTCGAAGCCCACTGCTGCATGGCTCGGCGATAAAAGATGACCTGTAAACACTCACCCTCCACCTTCCACACTGAATTTCCCTCCCCAGTCCCCTGCCCCTCCCACTCCCCTTATCCCTCCCCCTTCCCCTCTCCCTCCCCCTCCCCCTCCCGTCTCCCTCCCCCCCCCCCCCCCCCCTCCCCTCCCCCTCTCCGCTCCCCTCCTCCTCTCCTCTCCTTTCCCCTCCCTCTCCCTCTCCCTCCCCTCCCTCTCTCTCCTCTCCCTACCACATCAGCCGGTCGTGTTCGATCCTCAGGTCGTGCTAGCCGCGCCGATCTCCCGCGTGTGGGCAGCGCCCGCCAATGCGGGGGCGATGAAGTGTGGGAAGGGTTGCACATGCTCTTTTGCTCCCCCTCCCTTCCATCGCTTGTTCATTCCCTTCGCCCCTCTCCTCTCGCTCTCCCTATCCCCCGTGTGACCCCATCGCTTGGTCCACGGGTCGTGCTAGCTGCGCTCATCTACCTCGTGGGAGCAGCGCTTGCCAATGCAGGGGCCGTAGAGGGATGGGTGCTTGCAGCGCTTGCCAATGGAGGGATGGGTGCTTGCAGCGCTTGCCAATGGAGGGATGGGTGCTCGAGGCTTTCCATCCCCCTCGTTTCCAATGCTCGCTCCTTCCCTTCTCCCCGTCTTTCCAATGCTCGCTCCTTCCCTTCTCCCCGTCTTTCCAATGCTCGCTCCTTCCCTTCTCCCCGTCTTTCCAATGCTCGCTCCTTCCCTTCTCCCAGTCTTTCCAATGCTCGCTCCTTCCCTTCTCCCCGTCTTTCCAATGCTCGCTCCTTCCCTTCTCCCCGTCTTTCCAATGCTCGCTCCTTCCCTTCTCCCAGTCTTTCCAATGCTCGCTCCTTCCCTTCTCCCCGTCTTTCCAATGCTCGCTCCTTCCCTTCTCCCCGTCTTTCCAATGCTCGTTCCTTCCCTTCTCCCCGTCTTTCCAATGCTCGCTCCTTCCCTTCTCCCCGTCTTTCCAATGCTCGCTCCTTCCCTTCTCCCCGTCTTTCCAATGCTCGCTCCTTCCCTTCTCCCCGTCTTTCTCCCCTTCCCTCCCCTCCCCCCACCACATCAGCCGTTCGTGTTCGGGCCGCGGGTCGTGCTAGCCGATCTCATCTCCCTCGTCGGGGCAGCACTCGCCAATGCAGGGGGGATGAAGTGAAGGGAAGGGTTCTAAAGGCTTTTCCTCCCTCTTCCTTCCAACGCTTGTTCATCCCCTTCCCCCCTCTCCCTCTACCCATCTCCCGCATTCCTCTCCCTATCCCCCGTGTGACCCAAATAGCCGTTCGTGTTCGGGCCGCGGGTCGTGCTAGCTACGCTCATCTCCCTCGTGGGGGCAGCACTCGCCAATGCGGGAGGCGTGGGGGGAGGCGGCCTATTCGTGCCCATGTTTAATCTGCTGCTGGGATACGACGCCAAGACATCCATTGCCCTCTCTAAATGTAAGGAGCTGACTTGAATCTCGAGTCGAGTCGACTCAGAGGTTGCCAATGCAGGGGGTGTTGGGGGAGGCGGCCTATTCGTGCCCATGTTTAATCTGCTGCTGGGATACGACGCCAAGACATCCACTGCCCTCTCTAAATGTAAGGAGCTGACTTGAATCTCGAGTCGAGTCGACTCAGAGGTTGCCAATGCAGGGGGCGTTGGGGGAGGCGGCCTATTCGTGCCCATGTTTAATCTGCTGCTGGGATACGACGCCAAGACATCCACTGCCCTCTCTAAATGTAAGGAGCTGACTTGAATCTCGAGTCGAGTCGACTCAGAGGTTGCCAATGCAGGGGGCGTTGGGGGAGGCGGCCTATTCGTGCCCATGTTTAATCTGCTGCTGGGATATGACGCCAAGACATCCACTGCCCTTTCCAAATGTGAGTGTGAAGGGATGACTTTCAAACTAGCCCAGCTCACCCACTCGACTTACTGCCAGGCTGTTCGTGCCCATTTTCAACCTGCTGCTTGGTTGCGTCTTGGAGGTGACTTAAGACCTATTGTCAACCACGCTGCTGCTTTTCCCCCCACCAGTCCCCCCTGTCCTGTCGCCTCCCTTTCGCCTCCCCTCCTTCTCCCCACCCCACCCTCCTTCCCCAGCGATGATAATGGGCGGCGCGATGGCGAGCGTGTGTTTCAACGTGCAGAAGCACCCCACGTTCCACCACCAGCCCTTGATAGACTACGGCTTAGCGCGCCTCACCCTCTGCCCTCACCCCCAATTTTCCTGTTGCTCTCCCTGCCCTCCTGTTGCTCTCCCTGCCCTCCCCCACCAGCGATGATAATGGGCGGCGCGTTGGCAAGTGTGTGCTTCAACGTGCAGCTCAAGCACCCCACCTTCCACCAGCCGCTCATTGACTACGGCTTGGCGCGCTTCACCCTCTGCCCTCTCTCCCAATCCCCCGGCCCTTTTTCCTCTCCCCACCCGCCCCACCAGCGATGATAATGGGGGGTGCGTTGGCAAGTGTGTGCTTCAACGTGCAGCTGAAGCACCCCACGTTCCACCAGCCCTTGATAGACTACGGCTTGGCGCGCCTCATGCAGCCCACGCTGCTGCTGGGCATCAGCGTCGGCGTCACATGCAACGTGATTTTTCCTCCATGGCTCATTACAGTCATGCTCTTCCTGCTGCTGCTCTGTAAGTGGCCCCGTGTTTGCGTGTGTGAACTGTTATGTTGGTTTGTGAGGCTCTGGTGTGGGTGTGGAGTGGTTGTGGTGCGGCTTGGCACGCCTCATGCAGCCCACGCGGCTGCTGGGACGACTTTTGAGGCGCCTCAAAAGCCCACGCGGCTGCTGGGACGACTTTTGAGATTTGTGGAGTCGGGGAAATGGTGGGTTCACATCACAGGCTGGTTAGGGTACATGGGCTGCACTGTTGGTGCTCCCAAGCTTGCATGCTCCAAATGTTAGTCAAGGCTTAAAGGGATATACAGTAGGTGGTACACAATATACGACACATACATATAATAAGTTCGCAGGTTAGCTAGCAAAGGCTGGAAAATGCGAGTACCGCATATAACTGAAGGAATTTTCTGGAGTCTGCATAGGTAAACTCATGCCAGACACTTTACACATGGATCAGTATGGTAAACTTGACTGGTCAGTTTGGTATACTGGGCTATTTTTGCATCTGGTCGTATACTGGCATCTGGTCCTATACTGGGCTGGGCTATTTTGGCATCTGGTCCTATGCACAGATCTGGTCATATGGAGCTCATGGCAAACATGCTGCTGCTGCTGGGGATCAGTGTGGGCGTCACCTGCAACGTCATCTTCCCGCCCTGGCTCATTACAGTCATGCTCTTCCTGCTGCTGCTCTGTAAGCCCGCGCGAGTGGATTACCGCACTGTACCACACTCCACCCCCCATGCAGTCAATGGACAAAGGTTTCGCCACGCCGTGTGGATATTACATGCCGCACAGCACACATTTCACCATGTTATACCCACTCACAACTCTCATGCGTCATCACCCTATACCGCACCGCACCACATACCACCCCATCCCATGCAGTGATGACGTACAAGGCACTGGACAAGGGCGTGGCCATGTGGATGAAAGAGTCCCATGCAGCATGCATCGCACCACACCGTGCTCACTCACTTACACACCCCATTCTTCCGCCCTTCACCGCACTGAACCCCACGCAACCCCTTGCAGTGATGACATACAAGACGCTGGATAAGGGTGTGGCCATGTGGATGAAGGAGTCCCAGGTGGCACACCAGGTGAGCCAGTCAGAGAGAGTCAACGCTGGTCAATGCGGGTCAATGCAGGTCAAAGCAGGTCAGCGTCCTGTACCATGTGGATGAAGGAGTCCCAGGTGGCACACCAGGTGAGTCAGTCAGAGAGTCAACGCAGGTCAGCACAGTTCAACACAGGTCAACACAGGTCAACACTGCATCAAGTCAAGGCACATCACATTTCTAGGCAGGCAGGTTCGATCAAAATCCAAATTCCTTACACTCCCCGCCCTCTCATCCCCGCCCTCTCATCCCCGCCCTCTCATCCCCGCCCTCTCATCCCCGCCCTCTCATCCCCGCCCTCTCATCCCCGCCCTCTCATCCCCGCCCTCTCATCCCCGCCCTCTCATCCCCGTCCTCTCATCCCCGCCCTCTCATCCCCGCCCTCTCATCCCCGCCCTCTCATCCCCGCCCTCTCATCCCCGCCCTCTCATCCCCGCCTTCTCATCCCCGCCCTCTCATCCCCGCCCTCTCATCCCCGCCCTCTCGTCCCTGTCCTCTCATCCCCGCCGCCCTCTCATCCCTGTCCTCTCATCCCCGTCCTCTCATCCCCGCCCTCTCATCCCCGCCCTCTCATCCCTGTCCTCTCATCCCCGCCCTCTCATCCCCGCCCTCTCATCCCCGCCCTCTCATCCCCGCCCTCTCATCCCTGTCCTCTCATCCCCGCCCTCTCATCCCCGCCCTCTCATCCCCGCCCTCTCATCCCTGTCCTCTCATCCCCGCCCTCTCATCCCCGCCCTCTCATCCCCGCCCTCTCATCCCCGTCCTCTCATCCCCGCCCTCTCATCCCCGCCCTCTCATCCCTGTCCTCTCATCCCCGCCCTCTCATCCCCGCCCTCTCATCCCCGCCCTCTCATCCCCGCCCTCTCATCCCCGCCCTTTCATCCCCGCCCTCTCATCCCCGCCCTCTCATCCCCGCCCTCTCATCCCTGTCCTCTCATCCCCGCCCTCTCATCCCTGTCCTCTCATCCCCGCCCTCTCATCCCTGTCCTCTCATCCCCGCCCTCTCATCCCTGTCCTCTCATCCCCGCCCTCTCATCCCCGCCCTCTCATCCCCGCCCTCTCATCCCTGTCCTCTCATCCCCGCCCTCTCATCCCCGCCCTCTCATCCCTGTCCTCTCATCCCCGCCCTCTCATCCCTGTCCTCTCATCCCCGCCCTCTCATCCCCGCCCTCTCATCCCTGTCCTCTCATCCCCGCCCTCTCATCCCCGCCCTCTCATCCCCGCCCTCTCATCCCCGCCCTCTCATCCCTGTCCTCTCATCCCCGCCCTCTCATCCCCGCCCTTTCATCCCCGCCCTCTCATCCCTGTCCTCTCATCCCCGCCCTCTCATCCCCGCCCTCTCATCCCCGCCCTCTCATCCCCGCCCTTTCATCCCCGCCCTCTCATCCCCGCCCTCTCATCCCCGCCCTCTCATCCCTGTCCTCTCATCCCCGCCCTCTCATCCCCGCCCTCTCATCCCTGTCCTCTCATCCCCGCACTCTCATCCCCGCCCTCTCATCCCTGTCCTCTCATCCCCGCCCTCTCATCCCCGCCCTCTCATCCCCGCCCTCTCATCCCCGCCCTCTCATCCCTGTCCTCTCATCCCCGCCCTCTCATCCCCGCCCTCTCATCCCCGCCCTCTCATCCCTGTCCTCTCATCCCCGCCCTCTCATCCCTGTCCTTTCATCCCCGCCCTCTCATCCCCGCCCTCTCATCCCTGTCCTCTCATCCCCGCCCTCTCATCCCCGCCCTCTCATCCCCGCCCTCTCATCCCCGCCCTCTCATCCCTGTCCTCTCATCCCCGCCCTCTCATCCCTGTCCTCTCATCCCCGCCCTCTCATCCCTGTCCTCTCATCCCCGCCCTCTCATCCCCGCCCTCTCATCCCCGCCCTCTCATCCCCGCCCTCTCATCCCCGCCCTCTCATCCCCGCCCTCTCATCCCCGCCCTCTCATCCCCGCCCTCTCATCCCCGCCCTCTCATCCCCGCCCTCTCATCCCCGCCCTCTCATCCCCGCCCTCTCATCCCCGCCCTCTCATCCCCGCCCTCTCATCCCCGCCCTCTCATCCCCGCCCTCTCATCCCTGTCCTCTCATCCCCGCCCTCTCATCCCTGTCCTCTCATCCCCGCCCTCTCATCCCCGCCCTCTCATCCCCGCCCTCTGCTCACCATCCCCTCCCCCTCTTCTTCCTCTCTTCTTTGGTCCTTTTCCTTCTCTCCCCATCCCCAGCATTCTGCTGTGAGGGCAACCCCTCTCCCTTCCTTCAGCGATTCCTGTAAGTGCTAGTCATGTGGTTATATGTGACAAGGTTAAATGTCATTGCTGCTCGTGTCCCGAGGGGAAGTGTCCGCCGTGGTACTTAGCCTGCCGTGCCGTGGTACTTAGCCTGCCGTGCCGTGGTATGCCAAGGAGTCGAAGGTTAGGTCCTGAATTCGTGCTATTATCACCAAGAAACCATGTCCTCCCGTCTCTCATTGTCAACATCTCCCCTCTTCCGCCTTACCCCTCCTGGTTTTCCCCTTCCCTCCCCCCGTCTTCCAGCCAGCACAGAGCCTATCCTCACCTCCCTGTCCCCCTTTCTTTCATGTTCCCCCTTTCCCCCTTTCCCCCCCCCCTCTCCCCCCCAGCGCCCCCCCGCCCCATCGTCCCGCAGCTGCTCCCATCAGACCGAACCACCTCGCTGCCCTCCTCCTGGTCTGATGTGCTCCGCCTCTCCGCCGCCTCTCCGCTTCCCTGCACGCCCAATCCCATGCCCATGCTTACTCCCACTCCTCCCCTCCCTCTCCCACTCCCCCCGAGCACTCTTCTATTGTGAGAGCGTGGGTTAGCCTTTATTTGAGGCGACCTCTCTTGCTCATATTCCTCTCTTCCCCCCTCCCCGCATCCCTTCCCCCAGCGCCCCCCCGCCCCATCATCCCGCGGCTCCTCCCATCAGACCGCACCACGTCGCTCCCCTCCTCCTGGTCTGACGTGCTCCGCCTCTCCGCTTCCCTGCACGCCCAATCCCACGCCCACTCCGTGCGAGCCCTCTTTGACTGCGAGAGTGTGGGCGAGCCAGCAGAGTCCAGCCTCCACGGGGCTGTGGGGTACCAGGGCTTGGCTCGGCACGGCCTGGCTTGGGAAGGCCAGGCTCGGGACGGCTTGGCTCGGGAGGAGGGGGTGTTTGGGTTCGGGAGCGAGACGCACTATGCCGGGCGTCCAGGAGTGGGAAGATCACCGGACGACACTGACAGGTCCGGCAATGCCGGGCCAAGCACTGGGAGCACCGGACCTTCAGACCAGGACGAATCCCGGACCACTACTGTCGCTGCTGCCACCACCACTGCTGCCGCTGGCTCTGCCGTTGCTGCTGCTGATGTTGCAGCCACTGCTGCCAGCACCAGCAACACAAACAGCAAAGGTCGCAGGATCCTAGGTTCGATTGAGCCGGTGCTTCCGCCTGTGTTTGTAAGCCCTAGTGCTGGAGGGCTGAGTCCCCGGGGGGGTGCCGGAGGGAGTTACAGCCGCGGGAGTGGCAGTGCCGGTCGCATGGGTGGTGGCGGGTTCGGTCTGTCCGCTGCTCTTGCTGCTGCTTCGGCTGTTGCTGCTGGGTTGGAAGATAATGATGATGATGATGATGATGGTTTTGGCGGTGGTTTTGGTGCTGGTGATTCTGCTGCTGGTTCAGGTTTTTTCTCAGGTGGAATCAACGGAGGGGTGCGTCTGGACGTGCCCGGGCAGGGGGTAGAGGATGGGGAGTCAGGTGGGGCGGAGAGGGGAGGGGAGGAGGGACGGAAGGAGAAGGAGAAGAAGAGGGCTGGAACGAGGGAGGAAGTGCGAGGGAGAGAGGGTGAGAGGCCGCAGCAGGAAGCTTCCTACCCGTCTGCTGTTTCTGCTCCTTCAGGGGTTGACTCGGCATCTGATTCAGAGTCCCAGGACCATTCTAAGGTTGCTGCTGCTTCTGGGGGGCTCACCGCCCCGTTGCTGCAGCAGCCAGATGCATCAGTAGCAGGGGATGGAGCGGCAGGAGGAGGAGCAGGAGGAGGAGGTGGTAGGGGAGGAGGAGGAGGAGGAGGAAGGGGAAGTACGGCGCAGGGGTCTGCAGTACGCACCAAGAGTCTAATGGAGGAGCTTCACTTTGGAGCCCCGCTTGAGGTGAGTTGAGTTGAGCGAAGGTTTGACGTTTCCAAGCCTCACGCCATGCCTTGAGAGTGAGATCAAAGCTCGGAGGCACGGTGCAGGGGTCTGCCGCAGTGCGCACCAAGAGTCTGATCTGATGGAGGAACTTCACTTTGGAGCCCCGCTGGAGTTGAGTTGAAGTGTGTTTGTGTGGTGCAGTCAAGTCAAGTCAAGTCAAGTCAAGTCAAGTCAAGTCAAGCCTTGCAGTGCGCACCAAGAGTCTGGTGGAGGAGCTTCACCGCTGGAGTTGAGTTGATCTATCTGCTTGTTGATCTGCACCGGCTGCAGCCGCGCTTACTGGCTGCTGAACGGCCTCTTCATTCCTGTCGACCCTGCTCGCTACCCTCAGGGGCGTGTGGTGTGTGGCGCCCTGACGATCACACCCCCTCTTCGTCCCTGTCCCACCCACTCCTCTCTCCCTCTCCCCCTCTCCTTTTCACCAGGCGTCGCTCTTCCAGCTGGTGGACTGGCGGTTAGTGATGGAGCTCCTACTCGTGAGGCTGGTGGTTGAGCATGGTGTGGTGTCTCTACCACACACGCACCCATCCATCCCTCTCCCACTCCCGCTCGTCCCTCTCCCACCAGGCGTCGCTCTTCCAGCTGGTGGACTGGCGGTCAGTGCTGGAGCTCCTTCTAGTCTGGGCGGCCTTCCTCGCCCTACAGCTAGCCAAGCAGCACACGCCCGACTGCAGCCGCCCCTACTGGCTGCTCAACGCCCTGCACTCAACTCCTCATCCCCTTTCCCCTCCTGGCTCTACCCCTCGCTCTACCTCTCACTCTCTCCTTACTCCTCCTTCCCTCTGCCCTTTCTTCTCCCCCGTTCCCCCTCCCTCCCGTATCTCGCCCCCACCAGGCGTCGCTCTTCCAGCTGGTGGACTGGCGGTCAGTTCTGGAGCTCCTACTCGTCTGGTTGGCCTTCCTCGCCCTACAGCTAGCCAAGCAGCACACGCCCGACTGCAGCCGCCCCTACTGGCTGCTCAACGCGCTGCAGATCCCCGTTGCTCTGCTCGCCACCCTCGTGGGCGCGTTCCGCCTCTACCGGCAGAGCCACCCGTCTCCCAGGAGAAACTCCAGGGGGCGTGCTGCTGGTGCTGCTAGCGCCGCTGCTGGTGCTGGTTCTGCTGGTGTTGAAGCTTCGGAGCAACAGCAGCAGAGGGAGGGTGGCAGCAGCAGCAGGGGAGAGTACCACACAGCGCACTGGGGCATGCAGCAGCTGTGGGGGTATCCGCTGTGCTCGTTCATTGCAGGGGTGATGGGCGGGCTGCTGGGCATAGGAGGCGGCATGGTCATGGGCCCTGTGCTGCTCGAGCTCAACCTGCCTCCTCAGGTGGGTTGCACACTGTGAGGTTGAGAGAGGAAATGCGCTGCCACTAGAACATCGGCATAGGAGGCGGCATGGTCATGGGCCCTGTGCTGCTCGAACTCAACCTGCCCCCTCAGGTGGGTTCAAGTTTGTCAGGCTGACAGGTGGGGAATTCTTCTGCGTGTGTGCTGCTAAGACATCGGCATAGGAGGCGGTATGGTCATGGGCCCTGTGCTGCTCGAACTCAACCTGCCTCCTCAGGTGGGTTGAATGCCGGATGCGCTCGTCCATCCCTCACCTACCGACATGTTTCCTCACAACAGGTCTCAGCAGTGACTACAACCTTCATGGTGGTCTTCTCCTCCTCAAATGGTCCTCTTCTTCTCCTCCTCAAATGGTTCTCTTCTTCTCCTCCTCGAATGGTCCTCTTCTTCTCCTCCTAGAATGGTCCTCTTCTTCTCCTCCTCGAATGGTCCTCTTCTTCTCCTCCTCGAATGGTTCTCTTCTTCTCCTCCTCGAATGGTTCTCTTCTTCTCCTCCTCGAATGGTTCTCTTCTTCTTCTCCTCGCTCTCCGTGCTCGAGTTCTGCCTCCTCGGCCTCTTTGAGGCAATGCTAAGATGCTCCAACTGGTCTTCCCACACCCCTCTCTCCCTCCCCACCCCCCTCAACCCCTTCCCACCAACCCCCACCACAACAGGTCACGGCAGCGACCACAACCTTCATGGTGGTCTTCTCCTCGTCACTCTCCGTGCTCGAGTTCTACCTCCTCGGCCTCATCCCCATCGAGGTTGCCCTCGTCTTCGCCGGAATCGCCATGGTTGCGGCCTTTTCTGGCCTTTCCATTGTACGCGCTATTGTCATGCGCTACGGCAAGCCGTCGGTGATTATTTTCGCCCTCGGCTCGGTCATCGGGCTGAGCGGGATTATTCTCGGTGCGTATGGTGGTGTGAACACGTACTATGATTGGAAGGCTGGCGCGAACATGGGGTTCCGAGATCTCTGCGCTAGAGAGTTTTGAGCGGGCGGAGTTCTGGTGTTACAGCTATATCACCACTCTCACTGCTCGCAGTCTGCCTCGTTTTTATTTTCCTTAGCTACCAAAGCAGGACTGGTTGCTCTTGTATTGTGTACTTGTGCTTGTTCTCTCCACTGCTGGATTGGACATGTACCGTATGGGCAAACCAATGTGTCCTATTAATGACTTGCATTTGCAAGCTTAGTGGTATAAGGGTGCTGCAAGACCCCCAAACAAACATTTGCACTCTTTTCTCGCATACAACCCTACTGGATTCAATACACATTGTTGACAACATACGGGAAAACTGACGTTGAAGCGTGTAGCATGTACCCCTCTGGAGCAATAGTGAATCATCCCAAACTTTCAGGTTAGGCACTGAGACGAGGAGCTATGTGGGTCTAGGTACCGTATGTGGTCGTCATTTCGTTTTTATCGCTTTGATGAAACCTTGCGCACACGCATGTTCAAAGGATGGCGAGGTGCAGAACCAACCCCCAGACCTAGCGCACTCGAGTCTGCCCCTCCTCACGAGTTCCTGTGGTGAATGGTCTGCCACGTCAGCCAAGGCTCAACGTGTCAAGCGTATTTGTCCTCGATGTCAAATCAGACGAGACTGGCGGCTGACCGGAATTTACGCCTCGTTATCCAGGTCAACCTTGCCATTGCACAGTAAGGATGCCATAAGAAATCTAAAACCGAGGGCGAACTATGGCTGTGGGTGGGAGGAGGAATCCGGAGGGACATTGGCCTGGCACCACTGGCCCAGCCTGACAGTCGATGATACCTCGCCAAGTTACATCCTCCACAAACCGCTCTGTAAGCGTACAGTACAGTCACACAGCCCGCAAAATCTTCAATGACCAGACTTTTAGGGTCTGTACAGGATCAAGAAGCCTAACTCCACTTCCGCTTGCCGCTTACAGCACCCCCCCTGTACCAAGTTCCATTCCGCTTCGCATAACAAGAAGCCCAGGAATTTCGGAATTTCCGCCTTCTACCCCCTTGTATTGTCAGCGCGTCGCCACCTCCACCATCGTGCAACGCAAGCGATGTCTGAGTCAGCACCATCTTGATTTGACCTGGAACCACCGCCACGACGCGCAAAGTTAACAAGCAAGAGAAAGCGTCCTAGGGGGGTTCCGACCCAGTACAGTATATTCAGTGAATATATCGTTGGCTCACAGTCGTTCCGAGATTGATTGAGACGGGTTCGGGTCAGACATAGCCTATCTGCATGTCCAGGAGACTCCTAGCCGCCACGCGCTTCGGACCTGTTCAAGATTCCGTATCGATTCATGTATCTCCAGAAATCAGGCTGAGGGGAAAGAGCTTATCCTTCATACGCGACTCGCGTCGAAATGGAGTTCATGAGCCAAGAGCGTTCCTCCAGACTCAAGCATAAAGAGCCGCACAAACTGAATCGAAAGCCAAATTTGTGTTCAACAACGCCCTGACGACTTCGCCTACGTTTCGCGAGACGTTCTCTCCTTCCCCACTGCCTCGCATTTCCAGCCGTTTCGACTTAAAGTCGAACTACTCCGAAGCAATGGCGCCGGCGCCGCAGGTGTTCAAGCAATGGATGCAGTTCAAGGCGCCCATGGTGCTGCTGCAGTGCGCGATTGCGGAGATCGTCGGGACCATGTACTTCGTCTTCCAAGGCGTGCTGTGCTCCGCCATCGTCAGTAAGTCGCTTGTCATTTCTAGCACTCACATGATATTCACTCCGCTCTAGCACTGAATTTGTGAACTAAATAAGGTCTGAAATAGCCGTCTGAGACAGATGGGGAGGACACTGGACAGAATCTATTTGGTGCTAGGGCTAACTGAAGCTTCATTTTGAATCGCATGGCCGCATGCACCTGCCCATTTTGTACTAGACTTACTGCTTGCATGCTTTCAATTCTGATGGGTCACATGTGCCGATGGATCGAGGACCCTCTGACTGCTTGCTGTAAACCTGGTTCCACAGCGAACGTTGTATCGCTCCTTGCCCTTGTAGCCCTTGCATTCCTCACTCCGCCGATTCCATCTTTTGCCAGTTCCCTCTGTCTCTAATTTTCTGACTCTGTCGCGCTCGTGTCTTTGCTGCAGCCCCAGGAGCCAAGGTCGAGCCTCTCACAACGGTGGTCATCATCGCGTTGGGTAACGGCGTCGCCTACGCGCTCGCAGTGGCCGGAACACTCGGCATTTCCGGGGGTCACATCAATCCGGCCACCACAGTCGCCATGCTCTCCGTCGGGTTGATCGACGTGCTGTCCGCCGTGGTCTACATCATTGGGCAGCTCGTGGGATCGCTCGTTGGCGTCGGCCTTGCTACTGCCGTCCTGCCTTCAGCTCTTAACGTACGTCTCCGCTCCATGGGTTGATATCTGTTTCCTGGTATCTGCTCGGCAAACACTCTTGCCATATACTCTGGCTTACATTCTTTTCCCGTGTGATTATCGCCTGTTCGTCACATGATCGCATTCCTTAATGTTATCCCTCTACTCCGTTCTTTCCTCTCTTTTTTGCAACAGAGGGTTCTCGGGGCGCCGTCGCTTCCCGCTGGCACGACCTCGGGCACAGGTTTCCTGGCAGTGCTTCTCTTCACCTCGCTCCTCATCTTCACCGTTTTCGCCACCGCAGTGGATCCCAGGGGCCCTATCGCACTCGCACCCCTCATGATTGGCCTCACCATCCTGACCACCACTGCTGTGGGCGTGCCTCTGTCGGGTGGAACCATTAACCCGGCACAGGCATTCGGAACGGCGGTGTGGCAAGGTCTGTGGTCCAACCAATGGATCTACTGGCTTGCGCCGATTCTGGCAGGCATTGCTGTGGCGGTGCCGTATGCTGTTGTCTATCTGCTGCCCCTCAGCAACAAGGGTGATGATGATGATGAGAAGGTGTAAAGGTTGTCAGAGGTGGGTTGAGTGCTGGAAATAATGAATTTTCATCCTACGGCATTTTTTTAGGGAGTTCTGGTTTATATTCAGAGAGTTGCATTAATGTCTGGTAGCATATCGTGGTGTTGATTACGGGTTGGCTATTCTATCCATTGTACACCTGGCAAATATATAAATAAAAATTATCTTCTGGCACAATGTTCAGTCAGGAAGTTAGCAGCCATAAGCTTTCTGCCTACTTCAGCTCTCCCATATACTGAAGAAATACCATTCTAGTGGTTTATAAATGAAATACTTTGCATCCTACCTCCTGGAGAGTTTATGCATTGAATGTGCAATTTGACCAGGAAAGAGTCTATTTGTCCCCCAGTACGTTGCAGACAGGAGAGAGTGCCAGTTGGGCCTTGTTGGGCTGAGAAAAAGCCCTTAGTAACTTTGCAAGACTAGATTCAATGGTAGGAATGATGTAATAGCGGAAGCGTTTAATGATGACTTTGTGAACCACCTTGCGCTGGTATGTGAGGGCAAAGTAGATTGATTAAAACAAGCAAGTACAAGGTTTTATATACGGTAAGAGTACAAGGAATACGAAGAGATACGGTTAATAACTGTTTTACTGCTGCTGTTGCGGTTCGATACAGTGACGACTCGGGCAACTGCTCAACAGCGAGTCAGCTGTGTGTCCTTGCTGTTGCGCGTATTTGTCAGGTCAAAGGTCGCTGACCTTTGACTTTCGCATAACCTCCAGCGGTTGCTTTTCTTCTCAACCTCCAAGTGTTGTCTCGCCGATGCTTCGTTGTGCTTCGCCTCGTTTACGACTTAGTGTTTTCGACACGACAGAGGCGCATTAGATTACTTGTTCCCAACAGGACTGACTGACCCTGTCATAGCATTCTCTGCACACGAGTCGAGAAGTCCTAGCTAATTATGCACTATGGAAGGCCACATTTTCTTTAGAAACGCCCATGCCCGGAACAAATCGTCACTAGGTACACTCTTTTACAGTATTTTAGCTCTTCAGAATTCAAATTATTAGGAGGGAGAATGCAGCAGCAAAGACTAGTAATAGTTTTTGAGGGAAATTTGTGTATTATCATGGGTATGTCCGAGAGGGGCTTGTAACAAACATTCATAAGACAAACATCCCTAAGCCAAATATCCTTAACCTCTGCACCACCCCCAACCTCACTCGTCCCAAGCTATCTGCCCTTTGCGGTTTTGCACGTTTTTGTGTGGTAGCAGGTTTTGCCACATCAGCAAAATCGCGCCTCGAACATTTCTGGCCCCAGCTTCTTTGACGGGAGTTGCTTGACGTGGTTGATCGCAAATGGCGGCTCCTTACCTCATCCCGAACCGAATTTCGCACGAGTGCTAGCTGGTCAAACTACAGTGACAGCAGGCCCCTCCTGATTGGAGGGAGCTCTCGTTGACAGTAACGAAAAATCAGGGATAAATGCATCTCGATTCGAAGCGATTTTTACTGTATCAAGGAAATGGAGGAGGGGACATACAGTACCTGGCTGGAAACTTGGGTGCGGTGCGTTCTCCTCCCTGCGCCAGAAGCACGGACAATCGGGAACTTCTTCATCCAACCTCGATTTCTCCCTTTCACCACCATACCGATTTTGACCTGCCGCCACCAATGACTGAGACTCAAGCTCCACATCTCGCATCAGCACCACCCTATTATGACCTGGAACCACCGCCACAGTAGACAAGCTGATGGACAATCACTGTGGGTTAACGAGCTGGAGAAAGTGAACTAGGGGGGGATGGTACCCGAGCAGGTGGTGCCTAAGACAGAATGACTGAATAAGTGGCTCACAGTCGCTCTTCAATTGATTGAGACTTCGGGTCAGACGTAGTCCGAGAGCCTGTCTAGGAGCCTCCTAGCCGCCATGCGGTCCGCACGCGTTCTAGGTTCCATATCAATTCATGTACCTTCGGGATGTAAGCTGGGGGGGGAAAGCCTATCCTTCACACGCGACGCTAAGTCGTGGTGAGGTGAGTCTAGAGCACTTCAAACTCGTGCATAAATAGAAACCCGAAATGGTATCCATATCAAGCTCGTGTTCAATTCACCTTCGACATATCCTTCGTCTCATCACGCGAACT